CATTTTTGACGTATTCAAATTAAATTTGTTTGTGAGTGCATCAAAACATTCCAGAAAAGGGAGTTAAGATCATAAAATAACGTATATAGGCTTACCATAAAGAAAAACAAGTAAATGTCAGCCGTTTTCTCGATGCGCTATATAGTATACCCTTGGGAAAAACTGGAAACTTCGCCGTGGTTGAAAAAAGTTTTATTACGAATCATAGAAGTTTTATTAGGAAAGCTATTTGGAAACATACCCGCAAACTAGCCCAGAATACGTAACACAGTTACAATTTTATCAACATGTGCATTGACTTTCGTATCTTTAATTACACTTTTTAATTTAACTCAAATCTACAAAGTCAGGGAAGTTTCAAGGAATAAACATGACCTTTACCATGACGTCTATAATGCAAAACGTATCATCTCAATTATTTTTCAGAGCAGAGGGATCCTGGGTGCATACGGTACAAACCGAGACCGGTAGACCGAGAGATTCCAGAAGATCCCTGAAACCAGCTTAACCCTCGTTAAAGTTCCAAGGCTCTGTCTTTTATGAAAACAAATCTATACTAATATTATAAAGCTGAAGAGTTTGTTTGTTTGAACGCGCTAATCTCAGGAACTACTGGTCCGATTTAAAAAAATCTTTCAGTGTTAGATAACCCATTTATTGGGGTAGGCTATAGGCTATATAAAATCACGGTAAGACCAATGCAAGTGGAGCACCAATAAAGAATGTTTCAAAATAGGGGTTTAAATAGCTCCTTAACATTATATAATTCAAAAATATTTTCACTTTCTACGTAAATGAAGTCAGGGGTAAAATTTAGCGTTATGCCAAAGTAACTATTTCACGCGGACGGAATCGCGGGCAAAAGCTAGTCATAAATAAAAGTATAATATGCCGACCTACACTTTAGGAGACAATTTGGTGTTCCTCCAAGTAGGTATACTTGAGACCTTAGAACTCATGTCTCAAGGTGGGTGGCGCATTTACGTTGTAGATGTATATGGGCTTCAGTAACCACTTAACACCAGGTGGGCTGTGAGCTCGTCCATCCATCTAAGCTATAAAAAAAGCAAAAAGAGTATTAAATATAAGATAAGATATGGAGGTATCTCCATGACTTCTAATAATCTTTCTAATAAGTTTGCAGGGATTTTCCTTTGAGTTTTTTTAGTAAGTTCAACTTTCATATACGACCCCAAAGCCCCTACGCATTGGGTAATAGTCCAGTAATTTAGTTTCATACTCCAAATAAAAGAGAAACTTCTTGAAATCGCGGCGCCATTACAAACGCGGTACTTGTAAAAGTTAATTAGCTTTTCTGAAGGTGCCCTTTTCATGAATTACTTTTACTCTGGTTTATACCTATGTGGGCCACAATTATATATGGTATTACATTTAAATTTCACGGCGTTAATTTTTTATTCATTAATAAATACTAGAGGTTATCATAGAGCAATTATCACTGCTCACCTAAAAATGTAAGCTTAAAATCCTATTATAACATCAGTAAAAAGACTATCCTATCCCTCAAATTCAATAGATGTTTGTTTCGCCACAGTGATAGTTTGTGGTTTTATCTACTACTAGCGACCCGCCCTCGCTTTGCTTCGGAAACTGTAATTTATTATTGATTTCTCGACTATTTAATTGATGTTATTATACATATAAACCTTCCTTTTCAATCACTCTATCTATTAAAAAAAACCGCATCAAAATCCGTTGCGTAGTTTTAAAGATTTAAGCATACGTAGGGATATAGGGACAGAGAAAGCGACTTTGTTTTATACTATGTAGTGATTAATTAAAGGGGTGAATTAATGATTTTCCGACACTTTAAGCCTTAGACCTATTGTATTATTCTTCGAACTTCTAGTCATCGTACGGTAATGTTGGTGGAGGTAGGTGGTAGCTATCCGTGCGGACTTAATATATGCTCCGGTAACCACCATGGCCGAAGAACGCAGTAGTGCATAGTAGCAAAAACACACTTTTTCTCACTAATCAAAATAATTCGTAAAATAAAATTTCAGTCAACTTAACATGGAGTAATCCAGTCTCTTTTGGTCACAAGCGGCTTACTAAAAGAGCAAAAGGTGCTCTGATGTTAACTAGTCAAAGCCGTTTATGTTTTTGGTCACAGTTAAGGTACTGACTGTCATAAAGAAGAGTTCCATGAAGAAACTTCGTCGGAATACAGAAGTATGAATTACGATTTAAGCCTCAAATAATATTAACTACATTAAAATTGCACCAACAATCGATCATCGGTAATTTAAGTAAAAAAAATTATGAGACTATCTTTTTTAAATACAACAATAATTTTATCGTTGGCTGAATATGGCAACAATCATTACTTGGAATATTATTTTTATTTTTATGATTTGTTCTTGTAACTATTCGGTGTAAGTTCTACTGTTCATTTGTTTGAGAATGACTGACAATCTTACGTCATAATAAGAATTGTGTTATATAATAAAATTCGTAATATGTATATATTTTTTTTTTCTCTAAGTCAATCTATGACAAAAATAACCATTAATTTAACAAATGTTCGACCAACGTGTACGGAATTTTAATTGTTAAGTCGGTAATAACATTCAATACCTTTGAACTTAATGTTGATGTTATAAATAGCACTATAGGTACATGTAAAATGACAAACAAACTTGTAATCAAAACGATTCACACTTATTTGTTTTATTAATTTATCGATTTTGAAACTTCGAGCAGTGTTTACGTAATGTTCCCAATGAGAAAAGATACTTTACGACGAACCAAACAACGAACGATTAGTAAACGCGAACCTCAAATTTTGGGTCACGGAAACAAATATAAACGTTTATGGTGATCATGTGTTTTAATGGGAGCCATGGTTAATTGTGTTTACATTCACGATCAGCAATTCGAATGTTAATAATACCCACTTTATCAAAGTTCCACGTTGTTCTCACTGTCCGGTTTTTGTTTCGTGATGGGTTTCCGTTGGGGTTTGTTGTGTAGGATGGCGTTATTGATCGCGATATCTCCGGGGAGAGCGTGGGAATAGCGCGGGCGGCTCGCTGCGCCGCGACTGCCGGGCCGGGAGTCTCACGGCGACCGCCCGCCCTGCGCCGCTAAAGCTACGCATCATCCACGACTGCGCGATAGAAGAAACGAACAAACCGAACGATAATTCTGATGACTGAATATCAGTGTTTGACATTACTGACATCCACTTTTGAAATTCGATTCAAAAATAGACCTATGCTATCTATGATTGTGGTTTAATTAATATGTACATACGGATATATTCACTTTATTAATTTTGGTTTCGGATCCGTAGTAAGGTTCTTTAAAAAGTTGTATACGTACTGGCATGTAAAATGGCATAAAAAAACTCTGTTACCTATTATCGTTATGTACCTACTTTTATTTATGTGAGCGTAGAACACTGATCAAAGATGTTTTTTATTTTTTATTTTGTTTATACCCGGCGTTAAGTGATTACCGGAGCCCATAGACATCTACAACATAAATGCCGGCCCCTACCCTGAGATATAAGTTCTAAGGTCTCAGTATAGTTACAACGGCTTCCCCACCCTTCAAACCGAGACGCATTACTGCTTCACGGCAGAAATAGGCAGGGTGGTGGTACATACCTGCACGGACTCACAAGAGGTCCTACCACCAGTAATTACACAAATTATAATTTTGCGGGTTTGATTTTAATTACACGATGGTTTTCCTTCGCATAGCTAGATACGAATGCACCGGACGTCTTATCCTTTAGGCCACGACTACTCAAAAGATACTATAATTTTTCTTTTTTTTGTCGAAACTTAGGAAATGGAAACATTTCACAAACAATTTTTACTTACGATTCCCAGGGGTGACTCAAACTGGAATCTTCCACGCGAATATTACACAGAGTCCGGAGCCAAAACGGCAATGAACTTTATATAGGGACTGACGTAAGTCTATAACAATATTGAAATTCATTATAAACTTTTTTTATTTAATTTTAACTTGGCATGTAGATTAGCGGCAGTAAACTAGTAATATAGGCTTTTTACTTTTCCCAAGCGGCTTTCACTTCTCTTATGGAATCGTAAGTAAAAAACTGTTAGACAGAGAGATGATACTTTTTTTGTGTTCAAAGTAACTTAGATATCATGAAATATTAAAAAAAAAACGGCCACGCTCCGTTATTACTCTCGCTAATTGTATGAAGAAAATGTTATTATGTAGATATCTTAGCAACCATTCGCGTGCCGCCTATTGTTTGCTGATTATAACAAAGATTGTCTTCCCTGAAGTGCCTAAAACAACTGAAATAAAGTTCATAAGTCGAATGAATCCTGTATGAACGCCCAAATACAAACTATCATTTTTATTATTACATAGTATAAATTGTCATAATGATAGCCCGAAATACGAATTTCAAATTGTTACTAAATTTTAATTAAATGCCCTATGCATGCCTTATGGATGCCTAAGCGATAACATAGCCCTCTATCGTAGCTTCTTATCAAAATGTATATGAACAAAGCTATAGAATTAACGGGAATGAATCAAAGTGCCGAACCAAAACAAATAATTTCCAAAAAAAAGCTCATAGATATATTTTCTTTCTTAAATAATATAATTGACTGTTATTGGAGAATTAGTAGCTACTGTATTAATGCTAGTTAATAATTGGGCTATTTTTATAAATTCACCTTCAAGTGAAATAAACAAAAAGCAACAGTTTCTCAACAAATACAGTTAATTATTACAGGGTAAAAAATTGAATTGACAACAAATTTCATAAGAACGGAAAAGTATCGTTCCGTGATATTCAATGGGCCTGTAATTTTATTGTTTCAACGGTTTAGTAACAGCACGACAAACGATGCAATGAATTTAGTTTGTATTGTTTGACCACGGCGTTGAGTGGTGTCCCGAAAATTATTGAACTTAAAAAATATTCTATTACAAGAATATTTTTTAGTGTGACTTTCAATAGTAAAATCTAGAACAAAACAATAACAAATAAATTTTAAAAACGGTAAAGACGGATTTTTTAGTCATGCCCGGTGTAATTTTTATTGTAAACGTCCCACAAAAACAACACCAGGAAGATATGAAGGAAAAATACATGAAAACGGATGCTTTGGAAAAAGAAAAATATGAAAACACATTTCAAATTGTGAACGAACTGAAAGAAAAAAAGTTTGGTACGAAAAAAGATGACCGTTATATGGAAAATAATACTATTACTATTTTGAAAAGCAAATCAATAGATTATTTGAACAAAGAAGATGCAACATCTAATTTATTTAAGTCACATAGTGAAAAGACTTTAAATTCAGAGGACTTGTCGTCAGACAGCAGTGGAAGTTTGAAAACATCATGGCGGGAGATAAAACAAATTATAAAACCTAAAAAGAATAAGTTTCGAATATCTACGCCCGTTCGTGGTGTTGATATTTTAAACGCTTTTCATTGGGACACGCCGCTGGAAAAAGTTAGTACATTTTAATAAGAATCTCATATTTTTTTAATTAAAGCAATCCGTGTAACATAAGAGTCAAAACTTAATATAAAATAAATCAGTTTAAAAGGAAAATAAGAATTGAAAATCTTTTAGAGTCTTTGTTACTACAAAATTTCAAATTTGTACAGATAATTTATAACATACTCGTACATCTCCGGATGCCGCAAAGGTCCGTTTATAACTTATCTCACTTATCTGTACCCACTGGCCCATGTCGCCAATTGTGTCGGCATGATGTTTATGTAGTTTTATTGATTTCAGAATTCACTAAACATCAGACTCTTAGCTTATCCCATTGCGGCTTATCCACTTTATCTGAGCTAAACGGACATTTAAAAAAAAAAAGTTATGCAGACGGTTAAAAAATTGAGTTAATTTTTTTTAATAAACTTTGTTGGACCACGTAATAAAAAATTCTAGCACTTCACATTTTACTTAGCTTCTTCGAGTCATAGACATAGTTCAATATAGGTACGTTCACACTGTAGTTAATTTTTTTTAAAGTCGGAATGTAAATTTATTAGTAAATACGTAATCCGAAACCGTATTCAAAACAATGAATATTGTCATATAAAAGTAACAAATGTGAGTTTATTATTTAGTATTTCATAGCTTTTATTTCTTATCACAAACTGTACTAACAAAAATCATACTTCCGACTCGTGAGAACCAAGAAAATACATTCAATACATGTACAATGTTCTAAACAATTAAATAGTATAAGTAGGTAACATTTTAGTAATTTAAAGCCTATCCTATTTATAGATTCTGTCCGAAGTAGTACTACGCTTGGGTGTAGAAAATGCTTCGTGGTCAAGAACTAATGACAACAAATACTGGCAGGTAATAAAAAAAATACAGCAACTCAGTCACATTCTAATATAAAACTTACTTGGCTTGATTGATTTACGAAAAAAATCAGTTACAATAGTATTTAACATTTAGCCACAATACATGAAATACGTGACCATAGTGCAAATTGTTGAACACAATAGATTCGCATCCAAAAGCAAGGGTCTAATAGTTTTATGAATCCGTCATAAAAATAACGTCCGTCTCATAATGTCTTATTGTTTTTAACAGACTTCAATTTCACAAAAAGAAGGCGGCTCTAGAATACTCGTGTACATTTTTACCAGCATTAATTTAACTTATTTAACTTTAGTCATGATGTGGCCTAACAAAAATTCGACACAGGTTATCAAAACTTGCGCATTTTCCGTTAACACCGACATAAAAGGGTTTATTTAAGTTTCCTTGATTTAAAAAAATTCACCCTTTTTCATTATTAGATTGACATATAGTATAAGCTATATTCGTTTGCATTATTTAAAAAAAAACGTAAAAAAATGATCTCCAAATATTTATTCGACTAAAACTAAACGGTCTTCTCCAACAGGTTATATTTTCTGTGGAATCAGGAAACTCGTGTGAAGAGCTGCTTCAAGTTTTGCGAACATTGGGCATCGGCTCTCGCTACCAATCTTCTATTAGTGTGGTCCCCAGCGCTTTGTATTACAAATCCACTAACAGCTTAGAATACCAGCGACAACAACTTGGCTTTGAAAAGTGAGTCCTAATTTAGTGTTTTTGGAAGTCAATTTGAACTAATGGCACTTTTGTAAGTCAAATGGACCTCATTGTATTCGACAAGAAAGGTAGGCCTCGATACACCCCACGTTACTGAAATTAATAATTATTACAATATCAATACAGTTATACCTCTTAAGAAACATTAAATAGGTAAGACTGTAAATAATAAGATATAATATAATAATATAACATGTTCACATAACACACGTTCCGGAAGCGAAGGCAGTATTACTACTATTGAAACAAAGATGAAATTTTGACCTTATCTGCATATATTGATTTATAAGAAATAAGAATCATTTATTCATCACTAGAACAGACAGAGGAATTAAGATTTGATTAATTATATATTTAAACTTTTGGCTAGAACAGTAAAAATGTTACGGCTCACGATGTCGGTATCTAAGTGTCTGTAGGCATTAGTAAATAATGAAAATTAAATAGGCTAGGAAATGATCCATTTGGTATACGGTATAAAGGTACATGAGAAAAAAAAGTACATTGAGAATAAATGCTCTTTATTTGTTTCCAATGATTTTTGCCTTTTCATAAATGGACGGACAACTGTGCTTACGAATCAATAGCGCTGGAATTAAATGTAAAATATTTCAGTGAATCCAACACTGCGTGGTCTCGGTTCTCATCATCGGTGCGTGCTCGGAACAACCTCGCCCAGGTCCTGCATGACGTCAGACGGGGTGCGGCATTGACGTTCGATTGGCTGTTCCTTCTTGTGGTCGCAGCTTTTGTTGCAGCTTTCGGTCTCGTCGAAAACTCAACTGTTATCCTAGTAGCTAGCATGCTTATTTCACCATTGATGGTACGAATCCAAAATTACACTGATATATAAAAGTCGATTGTATTGCTCTGATAAGTTTTTTTAGTTATATATTAAAATTAATTTTTTATTTATTTTCAACCTAATTCTTAGAAATTCCTAATTCATCTATGTCTTTATATAAAAAGTTTACCGATCTATTAACGGTGCTTTTAGGTACCTCAAGCACCGGTCACTGTCTTCGCCGAACCCATCGTTTGCGACTAATGGCTCGACCAGTAAATTAACCCATAGACACAGCCCACTAAGTTTCTCGCCGGATCTTCTCAGTGGGTCGCGCTTCCGACCCGGTGGTAGGTTTTGCGAAGCACTGCTCTTACCAGGGCCGGTGTTAGCAACACTTCCGGTTTGAGCCCCGTGAGCTCATCTACACGTTAAGGTGAAGCTGAAATAGCCTCTCAACGTTATCAGCATAGGTAGGAAAAAAAACATTCGTGACTAAGTTACTTTTTCTGTCATAGGGTCCAATAACAGCAGCCACTCTGGGCACGGCCGTCCGCGACCCGTCTCTACAGCTGATGGGTATAATGCACGAGCTCTTAGGTTTGTTTCTGTCTTTGGTGATCGGTTTCATCTTTGGTCTGACGATCTGTGCTCTGGACGAGTGGTATGGAATGGTCGACGACTGGCCAACATATGAAATGATAACCAGGTAGGTAANTCTGTCATAGGGTCCAATAACAGCAGCCACTCTGGGCACGGCCGTCCGCGACCCGTCTCTACAGCTGATGGGTATAATGCACGAGCTCTTAGGTTTGTTTCTGTCTTTGGTGATCGGTTTCATCTTTGGTCTGACGATCTGTGCTCTGGACGAGTGGTATGGAATGGTCGACGACTGGCCAACATATGAAATGATAACCAGGTAGGTAAACGTAGCCCTGGATTAAATTAGCACGCTTTTATTAGCTTTGAGTGAATGCACGTTTGTTTTTTATGCAACGAAATCTTTGAACGTCGTCTTCACCCACTTCAAGACCTCCGATTAACTTTAATATTTGCAGACGTATCGCGGTTCAATCACAATACACTGATTCAACTTCGCTTAAATTTCTTGATCAGTATCAACAGAATAAAAAAGATAAGTTTGTCATCTGAGATTGATATTTAAGCGTGTCCTTTATTTTAGAAACTATATATATTTTATTAATTACTAGCTGACCCGGCAGACTTCGTAGTGCCTCAATCGATAAATAAAAGACCTAAGCTTTTGTATAAAACAAACTTATAACAAACAAAAGGAATCCGTCCGACGGGGGACACATCAAAAGAAAAACAAAATTGTTATTTTTATTGTTATAATTATAAATTGCGTAATTACTGGTGTTAGGACCTCTTGTGAGTCCGCGCGGGTAGGTACCACCGCCCTGCCTATTTCTGCCGTGAAGCAGTAATGCGTTTCGGTTTGAAGGGTGGGGCAGCCGTTGTAACTATACTGAGATCTTAGAACTTATATCTCAAAGGTGGGTGGCGCATTTAAGTTGTAGATGTCCATGGGCTCCAGTAACCACTTAACACCAGGTGGGCTATGAGCTCGTTCACCCATATAAGCAATAAACAAAAATTAAAAAAAAATTAATTTCGAGCATTATCATATTTATCGACCTTTTAAACCTTTTCTGGACTTCCACGAATAATTCAAGACCAAAATTAGACAAATCGGTCTAGCCGTTCTCGAGTTTTAGCGAGACTAACGAACAGCAATTCATTTTTATATATTATATAGATTAAATGGGAACAATTTTAAATTATCTATATTTTTAATCAGGCATCTTATATTGAGTTGAGTCGGTTTCCAAAATTATATTGCTACCGTACGTTGTTATAGATGTGAGCTGCATTCTTTATGGGTAGGAATAGCAATAGCAATACCGAGCGGTGCTGGAGTAGCATTAGCTGTACTAGGAGAATACACGGCGTCTCTTGTCGGAGTCGCTATTTCAGCTTCTTTACTGCCACCGGCGGTTAACGCTGTGAGTATTAGAAGTACACTCTTTTCAAATGCCTAATTACAATTAATTAACGTATATTTAACGTTTTATTCTGTACAATTTTTACATTTATAACAGTCAAATATTTTAGTTAATAGTCTCAAGGTCTCAAGGATTTTTTTTATCTTTCGACGCATACTAAATGCCTTCGTTCACAGACGATTATTCGTCTTTTCAAATTATCACTTTTACGACGTACCATGCCATTCTGGAATGACATCTTTTCCTCGCTGTTTTCTAAGCACATAGATAGTCTTTTTTAACCGATATCGCTAATGTTCAAGTACCTACGAAGTGGCGAGTCTTATATAGCTCAGTAATTTTTTTTATTATCAATTAAATATTAAGACTTAAATTACAATGCGATGTTACAAAATTAAAACTACAAGTACTTTTACGGTTTAATCTCGCGATCTTACACTTTACAGTTACTGTTATTGTACTGGTGGTAGGACCTCTTGTGAGTCCGCGCGGGTAGGTACCACTACCCCGCCCATATTTGCCGTGAAGCAGTAATGCGTTTCGGTTTGAAGGGTGGGGCAGCCGTTGTAACTATACTGGAGATCCTAGAACTTAAATATATCTCAAGGTGGGTGGCGCATTTACGTTCTAGATGTCTATGGGCTCCAGTAACCACTTAACAGCAGGTGGGCTGTGAGCTCGTCCACCCATCTAAGCAATAAAAATAAAATAATAATAAACTTCGGAACGTCGAAAATCAAAGAAAATATTGCCATGTTATAATACAAAGTTCCCATAAGTCATTGCTATTGATGCGAGATAACTACGTTCGTAAAATTACTGCGTTATTTGCACCATTCTATTATTACCGCAAATACGCGTTCATTTTTAAGGTGGCGGTTAGACTTTCTTCATTTTCGTCGGTGAATTTCGTCGGAGGTTTACGACAAACATCAAATGGGATCTGTTAAATGAAACAGCATTGTAATTTTGTTTTATTTTAAGGGACTCCTCTGGGCCATGTCATTAGTTCGTTTGATCGTCCCAGTACAAGAATCTCGATGGGCTGTAACAAGACCCCTTGAGTTGGTTAAACTCGGAACGGCGTCTCTTTGTCTCACATTAGTAAACATCGCGTGTATATTTGTAGCCGGAGTGGCAGTCTACAAGGTATGCAAAAATATTAATATACCAAAATTATGCTGTGTGCTTAGTGCCAATTTTTTAACTTCTCGTCTCGTCTCTTCTACGACTTAGGAACGCTGTTCCAACTCCATACAAATTTGAGTTAACTTTTACACGATCGAGAATTAAAAAAACTGGTACTAAGGACACTAAAACAAAATTCAAAATGTTGGCTCTTAATTTTTTTAATGTCTTCAAAATTGACGTGAAGGATTTTTAGAAGCTTTTTTTATTGCACCCATAGACATTACAACGTGTCACTACCCATTTTATTGTGTAACGGTACAAACATTCTGAAACGATTCATACCGAAACGCCATAGACACGACCGAATAGACAGGGTGGTGTTACCTACCTATGCGAGATCAGAATACGCCCTACCGCCAGTATTTAGTAATATCCTATAATACTAAAGTAGATAGAGTCAGTGGATCATTGATAATGAAACTATCGGCTATATGGTTGTTTTGCCTATTGGTACTTTTCACTATTATCGGTAAGAGCTGTATCTAACAATGTAGTGAAATACAAAAAAATCTAGGGCTCATTTTATATTCGATACTAATGAAAAAAACAAGAATCGTTCGTAAGCATTTCTGTCACACAAATCGTCAAAGTTCCTAGATTGATGAATTTTGATTACAGGTTAAAAAAGTATGTTCCCTCAGCGAAAGGGACATTTCATGGTGGGTGGGCAATAAAAATCGATTGAACGATTGTGATCAAGACATAAAAGAAAATAGCAAGATATTCGATGAAGTATACAGGTAAAAAAATAATAATATTCTTTCCTAGAAATTCCTTTAAATTAAAAAAAACCATACGGCTTTAAATATCAATGAAAAAAGGTAGTTACAAATTTTAGCTTCTTTCAGCACACACTTTATTCGACTTCCAAAATTATAGCTTATAATATAATTACAGCATATCGATCTCATACATTTTAATCTATATTTACGTGAGATAATTGGAGAATAATGGAATATGCATTTGTTTGTTAAAAATTTATGTTTCAATGCACCTACCATTATTTTCCCTGCAGCAAATTTGGTTAACTGATAGATAATGACTTAGGCATGAAGTCTGCCAGCGAATGCATATAAATATCTCAAGAGGAATAAATAAATAACAAATAAAATAAATACATTTTTTTTTTATTTTATTGCTTTGATGGGTGGACGAGCTCACAGCCCACCTGGTGTTAAGTGGTTACTGGAGCCCATAGACATCCACAACGTAAATGCGTCACCCACCTTGAGATACAAGTTCTAAGGTCTCAAGTATAGTTATTCAGTCAATTCATGCTTTCTGCCCCCGTTCTATCATTTCATCTTTACAATTTCCCATATTTTTTCAGCAAGTGGTGCAATGAGGCTGACAAGATAAATCGAAAAGAGGAGGGGGTCCTGCCATCTGTCATTCACAGTGACACCGTCACGTACCGCCGAAACCAAGGAATCGACCGACAGAAAGCCCAGAATATTGAAACTGTCTACTCGGAAATGTGCGTAAGAACACTTTTATTGTAAACTAGCAGCCCGCTCCGGCTCCGCTCGGGTCTTTAACAAAAATTTCAAGGTTTTTTTTTTTTTTTTAAAATAAAAGAACACTTATTGCGGTATAACTATAATAGTTAGACATACGCTGTCGCGACACTTTTTGTAAATAATAATGTAGTATATTATTTTATTCAATCATCAATAGTTTTCGCAGAGGACGCGATGTAAAAAATATTTTAGGTAATTTTTTTACACCTTGAGTTACATTCTTGGAGTTTTAGTAAGGATCCCTAATTTTTTGACTGTCACTCGGAAATAGTGTAGCTTCTCAACAGTGAAAGATTTTTTTCAAATCGGTTCAGTTGTTTCGGAGCCTATTCAATACAAACAAACAAACGTTTCCTATTTATAATATTAGTATAGAAGTATAGATAACAAAATAAATAAAAAAACACCAAACTTTCAAACGCTTCATAAATATTGTAGAAATATTACTCCATCAGAATTACATTTTAGAATATGCAAACATAAGTCACAAGCGGCAACAGTCGCTTCCAATCAATGTGTAAAGGAATCTTTCTCACATCAGAAACTTTCTAGAACAAAGTCATTGTTCATAAATAATATATTTACACAATAGGTACACCCCTTTAGGCAGTAGCTTGGCTGAGGCCCAGGCATTGCTGAAGCCGTGAACAACGGTCACTCACCATCGGGTAGCGATTAGGTTCGTCTGTCCAAAAAGACAATAAATAATGTTTTTCTTTTAGGCACAATGAAACTTATACGCCGCTCGATGACAATAAGGAGAACATTATAAATAACAAACTGAATAACACTCCTAAGATTGACAATCATAGCGATCATGGGACTGATAAGAAAGGTAGTTTTTACAGTCCAGAGAAAGAATTTCAAAAAGAAGAAACTGAAAAGAACAATTACCCTATATTAGAACCATCGCTTAGTTATACTGTAGATTCTCGAAATCCTGTCATTATGTTAGAGTCTAGATCTTTCCATGTTTAATTTATTTGTGAATTCGCTTTAGGAGCTACTAAGTTTATTCGTGATAAAATACATTTGTTTACTTAACAGTTTCGTTAACACCATGCTTTTTAAGATTTTTAAAAGAATAAAATGTACAAGTAGTTACTAGTTTTTCAATTGTTCCAACTTCAAGGCTAAATTTACGATCGTGAGGTTTACTAAGCTCATAACACGTTATGTATCAACCTTTCCACTTGTGTATTATCATCTTCAGTTATCTCAACGCGTTCCAGTAGAACTTTTTAATTAACGAGTCCATCATAAGTAGACTAGAACACGCCAAGTACGTTAATTAAGTCTTAATGATCTTGAATATTGTGTTAACAAAGTTGTGGTGTTGTAAATAATGAGAAGTTATTTCATTATAGACTGAGACAGTGTCAAGTATACGGCCATGCCGTCAGGGGTTATATTCGTTGTTTGTATACCCTCAAGTAATTATGAATATATTTTAAAATTCGGAAAACCTAAGGATTTAATAGACATTAATGATTTCGCACCAAAACCCTTTCGCGTTGCTTTGGAATTGAGGGGCAAGAGATCCTTAAACATTCCTGTACATTTGACACAAGAACAATATTGCGATCAAGCATTCATGCAACTGGAGAGTATTAAAGAAGAAGATTTTTTTACAATGGAGAACGTAAGTAAGCCATCGAAATTACGAACACTTTTAAATACCTTTTTATAGACAAAATGGGTTGTTAAATATATTTTTTAACGATAACTTACATTAGATACATTATACTGTAACTGAAAATTTCTCTAAGAGATTCTCATATCACAGATTTTACAAGAACTTTTGAAAAAACTTCGCATAGAACACGTAGTGTGGGTGAGTGATAAAGTGGGCAATTATCACGAGGTCATATTCCCTGTTAAAACCGGGGACCATTGCGAAACGTTACTTCATTGTTTAACGCAACTTGGAATCGGTGTCAAATGTAAATCTATAGTGAGGTACGTCGATTTTTAATTTATTAAATTTAAAACGTTCGAATTTTATTGAAAAAAAAAAATTACTTCAAAACTATTCTAATACTTCTACTACAGCTATGGTTTTGTACGGGAGGAATATAGTGGTTTTTTTTTGTAAAATATCTTTAATTAATCAAAGTATGCACCGTTGTTATCTTTGCACTTTTGTCATCTAATAGATAGTTCATTGAACCCTTTACTAAAAAAAACATGGGGGCGAGAATCAATAAACTCTTCGAAGGCGGTTTGGACTGCCGCATCGTGTCTGGACCATACGTCATGCAACACAGAGTAGGCTACCGCCCATCGATTTGCTTTTGTCTTATGCTAAGTACCACTTCACGAAATGTATATTATATAAACGTATTTTCTGTGATTAGCTTAGCTGCCGGCTTAAGTACATTTTTCCCTCTTAGCTTCGTTACTATGACTGCTTTTGATAACTTCAGGCAAATCGAGCACTTCAACTTCCAACCTTCAAAAACGTCGGATTCTAAGTTATTTTAACCTGTTATTAAAAATAAAGACATTGAAAAGAAATTGCATAACAACTTGAATAAGTACAAGTAGGTACTATACCTACCACTAGGGGAAGTCGACTTACAAGATGACCTACCATTAGCAATAGCGCATTTTTATTGACAACTTTTGGTTGTCATTTGAAAGTTATTTCATAAGAAACAACGCAGTATGGAAGATAATTTAAGCTTAATTGATTATGCTTAAATAATTAGTGATTTGCAGTGTTTTGCCGTGTAGTGTCGTGCACTCGGCAATCGATGATGATCTAAATGACGATGAAACCATATTGTAAGTTTTTTGTAACTAATCCATGTATTTTTACTAATTGCTACATCAAATAAATTCGTAAAAACGTTCGTTCAGGCGCCAAACAGAAGACGCGAAAAGATGGAGAAGTTTCGTTGAATCAATAAGGTCAAAATTGACAGTGAAACAAGTAGTAGACGGAGTTCGCGGAGGTGGAGAGTTATCATTTGATTATCTTACTCTTATCATAACAGCTGAGTAAGAAATACTTATTAATTTATTTCCTAAGAAAAACATCTCTGTTTTTTATTGTTTGTTCCGATACGCGGAAAAGGAACTGGGCATCTCCTTTGAACCCCGCTGCACTATAAAACTGAATACAATTATTATTTTATATTTTTATTTTTAGTCTACACTAAAGCTTGCTTTTCATCTTACTCTTATCATAACAGCTGAGTAAGAAATACTTATTAATTTATTTCCTAAGAAAAACATCGCTGTTTTTTATTGTTTGTTCCCACACGCGGAAAAGGAGCTGGGCATCCCCTTTGAACCCCGCTGCACTATAAAACTGAATACAATTATCATTTTATATTTTTATTTTTAGTCTACACTAAAGCTTGCTTTTCATAAATAAGACATAAACTACCTCATTACGTCTGTAGGTAAACGTTATATTTTTCAGCTCTCTGGCAGCTTTGGGTCTTGTTGAAAATAACGCGTCTAATATAGTAGCGGCAATGCTGGTATCTCCTTTAATGGGTCCTGTGATGTCTATAACTTTCGGCACAATAATAGCCGATAGGAGTCTAATAAGGAGCGGTTTTGAAAGTCTAATTGTGGGCATGATATTCTCTCTGATTTTTGGTTTCATATTTGGATTGATATTGGGAACGACTGAAATGCCTTGGGGATTTGGTGATTGGCCAACAGAAGAAATGAAATCACGGTAAAGTTAAAACCCGTATGAAAACGGTGTTCTCTTTATTGCAGCTATTCGACAAAGAGGGTGCATTTTTAAGGTGTTTATTCCGTTCTCTAGAGGCAACGTACGATCACTTTGGATGGGCATTTTATGGGCACTAACTTCTGGAACTGGTGTAGCATTAGCTCTACTACAAGGCAGCGCGGGTCCATTAATCGGTATAGCTATTTCAGCATCTTTATTGCCACCAGTGGTGAATTGTGTAAGATAAACTCTGGATTTTGTTCGCTTTTTGATTATGACATTTAAGCAGTGAGCATAATTCCGTTTCAAATTTCGCAGGGCTTATTTTGGGGGTTGGCATGTATTTGGCTGCTATATCCAGGGATAAAAATGCCTCATATAAAAGGAGAATCTTACTTTGGAAACTCGTCATATCAACCTTTGTATCACGATTATATTCCAATAGAATTCGCCGTTAATGGTAACATTCTAATCTCAATAACGGTTTTAAACGTTAGTCTTTAAAGTTTTTAATTTAGAATTTCCTTCACAGGTATTGTTAGTTGTTGTCTAACCATTGTAAACGTTATTTGTATTTTTATAACCGCCATAATATTTCTGAAGATAAAAGAAGTAGCAGCGCCCTATACTTCCAGCCCGGATTTAAGAAGATTTTGGGAGCAAGATATCAAAGTTGCTAGAGAAGCTAACAAATCTAATTTGCGAGACGAAGATGACGAAAGAACCGAGTAATTATGAGTTTTTGTAATGGTTGTAATAAATGTCTTTGTTTTTAATCACAGCTTTACCGCGCGACGTTACTGATGAATATAAACGACGGTGACCAGTCAAATTCATTCAAAGAAAACAAAAAAATACTAGTCTCCATTCCCCATTTCCTCTTTTAAAAGCCCTCAATTTTACAGATTAGTTTTAGACGACCTTAAAGAAACAGACGAAAGCATGAAGGAAAAATTAGAAGCAGCCGTCCAAGAGGCTCTGAATGACGAAACGTACAGGAAAGTGAAAAGAATGAGTTATCAAAGTCACAATGCCGACGAGGTGATTACTATTGAAAACTGTCTGCACGACACTGCTAGATAAGAACTCATGGTCACTTCAGCATTATACGAGCCGATAAAATCACTTGACAACCTTAGATAATTCAAATGGTTTTTTTTTTCATATAAATTTATTTAAATTGTGAATCTGTTCCTAGGTTACCTTACACAACTCTAATCCAAATTGTAATCATTAATACTTATACAGTTTAGACGATAATTAAAAAACTAATCTTCGGTTTTGAATCAGGCCAGAAATAATTTTATTCTATCGAACAGATCGGCAGAACTATTGGACACCAAACTTCAAAACGATCTAGTATTTATTCAGATGCCTCTACGCCGGCAACAAAAGCTAACAGTGAAGACATAGCCGCATTGGATAAACTGCTTACGTCGATTCTCGGGATTAAGGATATCAACCGAAGATCGTTTATTTCTCAACGTGATGCTTCGAGGATCAATAACATGCCCTCTATTGCGGAATTGGGGAACAGACGATCAGAATCTACACCCGATCGCATTGCGGAAGACTCTATAATAATGAGCGTAATAAACAATTTGAAAACAAATATGAATAACAGTTCTTCTGACGAAACCTTTCTAACACCTGCATGAACAAAAATTGTCAACCAAACAATCAAATCGGTAGTTTATTGTTGAAGAATGCATTAACTCGTAAAAGGATTAGGGCTTGGCATAAAACACTACTTTCATACGCACGTATATAATTGACTTTATTTCAAAGATTAACAAAAATAAATTAACATTTGTACATTTCAAACATTGTAAACTATTTTTATTAAATTTCATTTAATATCACAGCAAAGCTCTTTATTTCAACAAATCATATCCATTAAAATACATTGTTGAACATAAAACAGACATAGCGGTGACTACTAGTTTTCTTAGCTTTGGTAAACAATTTCATTTGGTCCCTATAATTTTATCTTTAGATGAGCTTTTCAAGCCTTTACTATGTTTCACTTGTGATGTATAAATATCGTAACCTAATGAGATCGTGTTGTCGTATAAAACTCGATACCGCGTTGGCAGAAAGTAGAAATTTATAATCTGCGCTGGCGGCCAGACCATCCACTCAGCACGATATAGCGTTAAAAATTTACTTCTCACTTCCTCCTTAAAATTCTGTAGTGGATTCTCTTCGAACAATGCGACACTTCCGAAAAATGTTATAATCATAATCGGAGAGAATATTAATTGGTCTAATAGCAATTTTTTCGCTACCATATCGTACGTTTTTCCTATAATAAATTTATCTAAAACTTTGTACCAATGATGGCACAGAACACCCACAGCAGCTCCAGAGAAACCCATATGCATAGTCCTTTTGAAGTCATACTTTTCCTGTTCACCGACGGATATCTCATAACATTGTTCAAGTAAATCACCCACTGACGACAACGTTACAGATATGGTCACATTTGTGTAAAACAAATATTTGTCACTGAAAGTTACTTTAACGGCTTTTTTTAAGCGTGTTACCGAACTTGAACTACGTATGTTTGTTGCTAGTTTCCTCCACGTGATGCCGATCGCCTGCATTTTCTGTAAAAGAGGTTTTGTTATTAATACGATGCCTACATAAAAACGAACCTTTATGCACCTAAACCTAATAAATATTTAGCTCAGGTATTCGTTTGGTGTGCTGTCGTTTGTCGCAACAATCGAAAAAATTACATTAGATTGTGGTACCTAACAGGTTTTTTAGGTTAGGTTCAAACCCTCAATTGACTATGTAAGACCACGCTTCGTCGCTGTAGCGGTAATATCCAACGTATAGGTAGCCTCAGCATCAGAAAGTCCGTATGTGGTGCTCTGGTTTTTTAATAGCACAAGCGATAAAAGTAATAACGAAGTCTAGATCAACCTGGTGCTTATCAAAGTCTATTAATCGAGATATGACATCGAAGTTTTAATTCTATTAAAAAGGGCTGACCCACCCTTCAAAACGGAACGGAAGAGTGCTTCGCGGCAAAAAAGGTAATGCCGGTACCTAACAATACGGGCTTATATATACTACTCCTTATCACCAGTAATTACTAAAATTTATTATTTTTTCGGACTTAATTACACGATGTTATTAGTTTATCGTGACAGTTGGTTGCAGCATGTGTTAGGTATGCATTTTTTTAAATGTCGCCGCGCTTAATGCGTATGCCTTACACCGGATGCTTTTTCCTTTTCGCCACAACTTCTCTTTCTATTACAGGATCACAAGCATTTCAGTTTCTATTAGTTTATTAGCTAATAAAACAAAAGCAGAGTAGATGAGTAAGATTTTTATAGTAATGAAATAAAACCATAAATAAATCGAAATTAAAAAAAGTGTACTACATTTATATCGTGATTTTATGTGTTTTTTTTAGTGTATTTACGAAAATTAGGCTAAAATATATGGTGTTGTTCAAAAGTATGCAAAGACAAATGATCAATGGACAATTAATACATAATTTCATGAAACACTTCTAGTGCCAGGAACTCGCATAAAACGGTTGATGTATGTGCAATAATTCAATGTGTATGAATTACATTTAAACAATGTCAAAAAAATACAAACTAAATATTTTGTGTTTATAAAACAAACATTTACCATGTCATTGTGTTAAATAGCAACAACGTAAACATTATTCCATTATTTTTTCAATTATTAATTTTGGTATTTTTGCCAAAATACAAAAAGTACTGTTAAAAAAATTAATTACAAAGCAAACAAAAATATTCATGGGTTTATTTTATTTTTCATTTTCTTTGTATTTATTCCTTCTTCTGTTTTCTATGTTTTACTTGAGATGTGTAAATATCATAACCAAGAGATATGGTATTGTCATAAAGCACTCTGTATTTTGTTGGTAAAAAATAAAAATTAATTATTTGCGCAGGTGGCCACACTACCCATTCAGCCTTGTACAATGTCCAAAATTTATCTCTCACTTCTTCATCAAAGCTCTCTAAAGGCTTCTCTTCAAAAATAGCAACAGTGGCAAAAAAAGAAAGAATAATAATGGGAGAACAGATACACTGGTCCAGAATTAACTTTTTTAGTACCATATCGATTGTTTTGCCAACAATTATCTTATCCAAAAAATTATACCAATTGTGACATATTATTCCAGCAGTGAAACCAGAAAATGCCATATGTGCAGTCCGCTCGTAATCAAATGTGTTACTATCTTTTATACTTAATTCATAGCTTTGTTGTATAGTATCACCAAGTGAGGATATCCCTACTGATAGAAAAACATTCGTATAAAGTAGATATTTTCTTTGGAATGCAACATTTACAGTTGTTTTGTAGGTTTTATATGCTTTTGACAATAATTGCCTGACCAACTTCATAACCAAAGCATCATAAATCTAGAACAATCAAACATGTTTAATCGTTAAATAAATAACGCTTTTGGTAACTAATTCTAATTATTGTATTCTACTTAGGAACATTTATCATTTAAAAAAATAATGGTCAATAAACAACTGAATTCCGATGCCTTTTAAAAATTTACTTGATCAAGATGTGTGCACACTTCCTGATTTTATTATTCTATGGTAAAGCGGTTTTTCGGTGGTAATAGTTGCTAACTGTGTTTACAAGTACGGAATATATTTGGTAAACGAAAGTTTACTGTCATTCATATTTTGTATTCCTTTTTGTTCAAATCAAAATAAATTGAAAAATCAATTACCTACCTAACATAAGTCGGTTTGGCGAGTGCCAAACGTGTCTTTCTATCGTATTACATAACTTTCAAACATTTACAGTGCCTATCCCCAACTTTAATGTAGATAACCTTAAAAATTGAAATTTCCGCAAATTTTTCTGACATTGGTCATGCCTTGTGTATATGTCACTTAAAGTAGTAGACAGTAATAGTTTTATTTTTCCAACTGGAAAGCCAAAGTTGTCGTACCATGCTACCTAACCTTTTATATATATATTGGCAGACCCGGCCACACCCCGGTCATTGTTCTCGTCGAACCCGTCGCTTGCAACGACGAGCTCGACGAGTAAATTAACCCTCAGACACAGCCCACTGAGTTTCTCGCCGGCTCAGTGGGTCGCGTTTCCGATCCGGTGGTAGATTCTGCGAAGCATGGCTCTTGCTAGGGTTCGTGTTAGCAACGTCGTCAGGTTTGAGCCCCGTGGGCTCACCTACCACTAAGGAGGAAACCTCTTTTTGGAGGATCCTAAGAAGTTAGTTTTCAAGGTGGGTTGCGCATTTACGTTAAAGATGTCTATGGGCTCCAGTAACCACTTAACACCAGGTGGACTGTGAGCTCGTCCAACCATCTCAGCAATAAAAAAAAGCTACGTCCAGCGGCTTTGTTTTATTTTCCCATATTTGTGCACTTTCACTGACACTGAAAAAAATTGTAAATACATACCCGCGTGACCAGATTTAGTAGATTTCTACTTTTTTGGTAGATTTTGAGGTACTGGCAACAGAATTTAGTTTGTAAAAATTATTTGGTATATTTTAGTAGAATTCACGCTTTTCAGTTATTCTAGTACTTTTTGGGCATTTTGGATAAATTCTTGGTATTATCCCTTAACTATTTAATTTTCATTCTTTTCGTTACCCTTCATGCCGTGAGCATCTTGGGAATTCCTTCATTGAGATTTTTTATAATCGAGCTTAAAATGAAACATAAATATACACAAGGATATCGTGATTTCCCATTCATCACGATATCCTTGCAGTTGCAACAGAAAACATGCAAATTGTTGACAAAGAATATAGGGAATTGAAATTAGATGTTTCTGTTCCTAATTTATTGTCAACTTCTAGTTCGACGTCTGAAACTTTTATGGTGAATAAATTTTGGAGTGAAGTCTGCTAAATCTGTGATGCGAATAGCAAGCCAAGGTATGGCAATTTGTCCCAATTTGTGAAGCAAATGACGATACTACCTTTGTCATACGCTAAAGTAGAAAGAATAATTTCTAATAATAATAGGAATAAAAATCAAGATTGAAATCTATTTAATAATAAGAATGTTGCTGCAATAATGCATGGAAAAATAGGGGCTACGACAGTTCGAAGGAGGATGTCGCACATTTGATCCTGACAGAAGTATGTTCCAATGTTTACTACATCAAGTTAATGGATTCAAAACAACTTTATGAAAAAATTACCCAACATAAACACGAAGAATTTTATGTTTGAGTTTCATTATAGTATTTTTTTTTTTATTATATTTTTATTTAGAATTTAATTTAAAAAAAAAGAACATTGGTCTCTTGAATTAATGGTGGTTTCTTTGTTATTTTTATTATTTTATTGTTTAATCAAGGAAACATTCATGTTTTTACGTTATAACACGACAGCAAAAAAAAGTAAAAGAGATTTTTAGTATTTCTCGTTCTCTTTTGGTAGAATTCAGTAGATTTTAACCTCCACAAACAGTAGATTCGTCAAATGAAATCTGGTCACACGTCACACTGCTAGATACAAACATACATGTACTTAATGTACTTATGTACATTTTATATTTACGTTAAATAATATTTTTGTAACTGCAAAGAAGTCAGAATTTGCTTACAATTTCACAAAAATACAGTTGTAATAAATAAATAACAATGGCTGGTAAAAGTTAATTCAATGTTTTGTTAAATTAAATGATTATTTTTTTTATTATTTTCGTGCCAAATATTTTCAGACAACCTTACGTTGGATAGGATTGATATGAAACAGAAATCAACGGCTCATCTTCGAATTTACGTCGGAGCCTTAAGTGATAATACTACTGTTGAAGAACTCTATGATTACTTCATACAATACGGGAAAATAGATGGGATTATAGTTAATAGAAATTTTGGATTTGTGCAATTCGCCGAAGAATCAAGTGCACAGGATGCAATAAAAAAAGCTAATGGTAGCGTATTCAAAGGAAAAAATATCCCTGTCAGAGCCGCAACTGATAAAAGGTTAACTCATTTTCTGTAAATTCAATCTACAGCCAATATGCAGTTTAGGTTCCTATTCTTACATTTTAATATTGAAAGCCAAGTAATAACTCAGCATGAAAAAAATTCATCACATTAATCTTTTCTATCCATAATGGGATGGCACCACCCAGCAGGCAAAATATCTTGAAAATTTCTTTGATATACATGTGAGATGTAGGCGTAGCTATAGTTCACCATTATCTATATTTTTGTGATATACCTCTCCTTTTATACCATTAATTTTACTTTTACTGAAGTAGAAAAAGATCTTTAGTAAAGTTGCAAAGGGTCACTACAACATGACATGATAGAGTTAATGAAATAAGAGAGCTAATACAAGCAGGGCTAGACTAGGCAGTCACTTTGTGTACAAAATATTATGTTAATCATAGGCTAATAAAATTTTACTAATCTAATACTGTTTAGAAACTATGAATTGAAAATCTTTATTGCTCCAAATTATTTAAAATCTTTACATTTACTATATAGACGAGATGTTGAAACCGTAACGATATATCCAGAAGTGCCACCTGCTGTTGCACTAAAAGACACTCAAATGGAAGATGAAAGTGAGGAAGCTTATGACAACTATGGAAATAATAATGATCATGGTGAGAATAATAAGATAGTTTTATTAATTGACAAGGTCATTTGAAATTTCCAGTCACCCTCAGAAACAGCCCACTGAGTTTCTCGCTAGATCTTCTCAGTGGGTGCATTTCCGATCCGGTGGTAGATTCTGCGAAGCACGGCTCTTGCTAGGGTTCGTGTTAGCAACGTCGTCAGGTTTGAGCCCCGTGAGCTCACCTACTAGTAAAGGTTACGCTGATATAGCCTCTCAAGGCTATAAGCTTAGGTAGAAAAAAATAATTTAATTTCCAAATTGTTTTTTATAGTTTGTATGTTTCTACTCTTCATATTTCATATCGACAATTGAAAGGCAAACGAGACTAAGCGACAATGCGTGAACTTTACAGTAGACTAATTTAACGTTGAAATACCTGAAAAAATTATATTTGAACGAATCTAGCTGTAGGATTGAAATGATTTTAATAGACCTAGAATATTTTTTTTTGCGTATCGAATATGGTTATTGCCTATCATTTAAGTACAAAACAGTTATTGTCGCTTAGTCAAGTTTGCCTTTCAAGTGTCGATATGTAACTTAGAAACATAATTCTAAGTCACATATTATCAAATGTAATATAATATATATGAAATATTCATAAACATAAATAAATAAATAAAAAATTTAGGTTTTCAAGAGGAATTTGAAGAGGGCAACAACAGGCCAGAAATTCATGATGAGAGAGGTAGAGGCCGTGGCCGTGGCTTAGGGCCACGAGGTAAAGGGGTCCGTGGGGCACGATCAAGAGGTCCAAGTTTCTGTGATAGACCACCCATCAATCCATCAGGTTAGGAACTTCCATTTTGTATTATTGTAAAAAGTCCAGAAAGTAATGTTGCTTTAAGCACAATTTGATATTTATTCATCATTTATTTATTTTACAAATATGCATGCAATGAGTTGTCAATATGGTTCTTTGATCTAAACATTTTACCAGTATCAAAATAAAATGAAACAAAATTATTATGTTGTAAATATGCTTATTTTGAAGTCGTCGTGGCCTAAAGGATAAGACGTCCGGTGCATTCGTGTTGAGCGATGCACCGGTGTTCGAATCTCAGGCGGGTACCAATTTTTCTAATGAAATACGTACTCAACAAATGTTTACGATTGACTTCCACAATGAGGGAATAACATCGTGTAATAGAAATCAAACCCGCAAAATTATAATTTGCGAAATTACTGGCGGTAGGACCTTTTGTGAGCCCGCGCGGGTGGGTACCACCATCCTGCCTATTTCTGCCGTGAAGCAGTAATGCCTTTCGGTTTGAAGGGTGGGGCAGCCGTTGTAACTATACTGAGACCTTAGAACTTATATCTCAAGGTGGGTGGCGCATTCACGTTGTAGATGTCTATGGGCTCCAGTAACCACTTAACACCAGGTGGGCTGAGAGCTAGTCCAACCACCTTGCTTCTTATGTTTAATATCATGCTATTGTCATTTGACATTACCATATTAATTTCCTGTTTTTTTTAAATCCTTTATTGTGCATAATTTCAATGTTAGCTCAATATAAATCAACCGCGCGGACTCACAAGAGGTCCTACCACCGGTAATTACGCAAATTATGATTTTGCAGGTTTGATTTTTATTACACGATGTTATTCCTTCACCGTGGAAGTCAATCGTGAACATTGAATACGTATTTCATTAGAAAAATTGGTACCCGTCTGGGATTCGAACATCAGTGCATCGCTTAACACGAATACATCGAACGTCTTATCCTTTAGGCCACGACGACTCAATTTGTGAAAGATAGCTTAGGATAGATGAGACTAACAACAATTTATTTCATTATTTTTGTTTATCCATAGGCGAATGGGTTGATCGGAGTGGTTATAACCGATTTCCAAAGCCCCCTGAGTATCCACGAACTCTGCCGGTACCAGAAAGGAATGATTGTGAAATCATTGTTGTTGCGAAGAGTCTCACGTAAGTGTTAGTTATGTAAAAAAACCCAAATAATATTGAATGGTTCTATAGTAGAATTCAAGTCTATATCATTATCAATAATCAGTATCAAATCGAGAGGTGAGAGGCTATTTAGTTTATGCGACATTTATCTTTGCAATTAAAGGTCCGTTTTATACGGTATTAGTAACTATATACAAGTCGATGTTTTTAATTCAACTTCAATTATGTTTACCACGTTCAAATAGTTGAAGAAAAAGTTTTTAGTCCTGGTATTTTTTCCAAAATTTAAACTTCAAGTGGCTCCTGTAAAGCTGCTAAAGCAGACCTGGGCAAATGGCGGCGTAGAATTTTGTCTGGCCCGTGAAGCATTGTATATATTATTAAAACACAAATTTTGTTTTTTAATAATATTAGAAAAAAACTGTTTGGCCTGAGGTCAAATTTTCATCTGCAACGTGACCGGACTATCACAATATTTGCCCACCCATGTGCTAAAGTGTCGCTTAAAGCAAATGGCCTTTCACCCATCGAAATAAAGTATATTTTTGTCTTGTCTTTGCCCTTAGTACTTATAAAATACACAACTGATTTGATACAGTGTACATTTATTAATGGCTTCTTTAAAGCTTCATAATACGTAAAGCGTCATAATACCTAAACATTCAGCTATAGAGCGAAACTAGATAAAATTTAAATTAACGTACTTTTTACAAATGTAAAGTGTATTTTAAATGAGAAAAGGTATTTGGAATTTTCCATTGTCTATTCTATTGTCAATTTCTGCATGCTAGCAGTCGTGTATTTGGGTTTGATTCGTGAAACAACCATTTTATAATGTAGTCTAGACTTCGATCTCAGATCTCAAGGTATCTAATTGGGGGGTCCATTTAGATACCTTGGGGGGGACCTTTTGATGTCTATGACCTGCAGCCGTAACTCATTTGACAATATAATCTAGACTATTAATGACCTGAGATGCCTTGTAACCTGATTTGAATGTCTAAACTAGCACTTACAAAAAATATAATTCATAGACAATAACAATATAATTTATTTTTAGTTATTTTTAGGTAATGTACTAATTTATATTATATTTTTAAAAATATTTGAATTGTACAAGGATACTAAGCACAAACAGTACTTACATAATTTCACGTTTCTTCAAAATAAGTATTAAAATACTTTTGAAATATTGCCCGTTTAAAAATATAAAAAAAAACTCAATATCAAGATTATCAGCAGCGAAGACTGCCGCGTTGGTGCTAACTTGAAATTGAATAAGTAACGCGCAGTATTAGAAGTCACGATTGCCAAATTTGCGACATAGTGGAATGCCAGACTAACAAAGTACCTATTACTTGTTTCATATGATAATAATAGATTCTGATCTATTTGATGCTAATTCCGCAAAAGTATAGTTGAGTTGAAGAAATATTTTTCTACAGCACATTAAAAATTTGATCCACATGAATTCCTAAAAGTATGCTTCTATTAATTAAACCTTATTGTCAAACGCTTGTCTCAAACGTGCTAAGGTTTCGTATTTATGAATATCTTCTAAGATACGTAATGGAAACTCCCGATCTGTAGTTTATTTGGCATAATGATTGTGTGTAAGGCACTTCACATATAATATAGTAGATATTTCTAAATGTATTCATGCAAATCACGAACTTATGTGTAAGTGATTTTTCATGGAAAGAGCACTATAGGAATAAGCCTGCTTCAATTTCTAATTTTATACCCTCTTTTTACACGCTTTATATTAGCTTCACTTGTATGTATGTTTGTAACTGACTCCTTTAGACGCGATTTTGACCCACTTTAAACGGCCAAATTTCATTCAAACTTTGTAGATTTATCGAGGACCGATAACAATACTTAGTGTATTGTATAATGTATTATAAAAAAGCGCGGGGTGCTTTTTAAGATATTATTGAAATAATAATTCTTCTACTCATATCTGTCAGAAAAATATAACTAATAATATGCACCCCACGCTTTTTTTACAATAAAATATATTTTTCACTATTTTCAATTTACATTTATTAAAACGTATTTTCTATTTTTTTTAAACTATTATTTTTTTAATAGGTTTGGTAAAAAATTTACAATTTTTTTTTTCTTCAGAGAATATGCGGAATATATTGAAAATAGACTCAAAAGATTGGGTATAGTCGTCGATTTGCTGTTTCCAATGGAAGACGTGCCGATCGGCAAAGTTCTCGGTAACATAGCTTCGAGAGGATGTCTCTACGCTATATTGGTTATGCCGATGAATTTGGAACACAGATCTTTGACCTTAACAATATTACACGGACTACCTCAAGGTAAAATAATGTCGTTCTTACAGAATTTTATTACTGCTGGTAGGACATCTTGTGAGTCCGCACGGGTAGGTACCACCACCCTGGCTATTTCTGCCGTGAAGCAGTAATGCGTTTCGGTTTGATGAGTGGGGCAGCCATTGTAACTATACTGAGACCTTAGAACTTATATCTCAAGGTGGTTGGCGCATTTACGTTGTAGATGTATATCGGCTCCAATAATCACTTAACATCAGGTGGACTGTGAGCTCGTCCAGCCATCTAAAAAAAGAACATACATATTTATTTTAATGTCGCCAACTGGTCTCATTGCAAGTATCGTATCTAAAAGAGTACAAATATCAGGTCCGCTGATGTAATTTAAAATAGAAGAGACAAATTATTATTTATATTACAGAACATAGAAATATGCCAATAGAAGACGCATTGCAGCTGTTATCGCGCAATTTCCAAGAGGTCCAGCGCGGTGGTCCTTCCGGTCGTGAAGCAGTATATGCTCTGCTCGGACAACTTGCTGACGGCCGTTCACTTACCGTATTACAATACAACAAAGTTATCGAGTATTTACAGGTAGAAGATCATTTTTATGAATAGTTTATGATAGTATCTAAAAATTTGGGCCCTTTTCTCTATATTCAATATCAATGAATAGAATTTGATCAGGGAAATATTATTTCTCATTTTTAAGTAGATATAGAAAAATCTAAACACATTAATATTAATCGTAAACATTTTAGGAACGTCGTGACCATCAAGTAAAACTAGAATTGGGAGAAACTTCGACAGCTCCTGTGACTGCTACAACAAACAAAACACAAGTTGAACTACAGCAGAGAATTATGAATATTCTCAATGACAAGAACGTACAGACACCGCCTCCGGCACCCGTTGTCGCTCCGGCTCCTGTAAACACTACCACCGCGACGACCACTGCACAGAACAAATTACTTAACGACCCTTCATTGAGGAAAGCACTGGATTCTATATTACAAAAAATCACTTAAAAATCTATATGTACTTTTTTATTTTACAGGATATTAAATTAAGGCTGAATAAGTCGTGTTCCGAAATAAAAACATTCTACAATAATTATTATAATCAGTTTTATTTAAACTTCATACATATGAGATTGTCTCTTTTCCAGAGCAGTTCATTAGTGATTTGAAACGACAAACAGTGCTATTATTTTAGTCAATTTATTCTTTATATACATACACATAAAACTTTCATTTGATATTTATTTTATTATACGAACTAATCTGTCTCATAGTGAACAGGTACATACATCCATTTTGTTGATCATAATTTTCAGGAAATAGTTATAACTAACATCCAAAGCGGAGAAATGTCTCGAAAGTTAAAAAAACATGCATGGTTCATAATTTGCATGAACGTAATACTTTTCTAGACACTACATGATTTATTGATATTTAAATACTGCCAGTGGATCCAGCCAGGCAAACTGAAACACTAAACAGCTGTTTAAAATAGATCACTAGTTGCTTTAGTTGTTGGAACATAATTATATTGTTGATACTTTAAAAAGCTTATCATCAGAATCTTTATTACTTGCCATTTTTGTGTCATTATAATTAGGTACATAAATTATTTCTTTTTATCAAATCATTCAAATGAGATCAAGGCCTCACAAACATCTTACAAAACCATAGTTACTTCATACCCTCTCTAAAGTTAAATTACTTGGCTAGAAGTTTATAAACTAGCTCAATATTAAGAATATCCACATCTTAATCTATATAAACATATCCACATGTACGCTCTTATTACTACAGCGTCTAATGCCACCGCACCCATTGAACATTGTAAAGCTACATTTTATATTTGGAAGAATTATTTTGGTGTCAGTTAAGTCCGATGGGTGAGAGCAATATTTACAATGGATCAGTCAGTGATCTCATGCTGGCATTCTACCAACATATCTGGAATAGTATCCTTTACATTCGTCATACTTTTTTAGGTTGATCTCTCAGGTGGATCTTCCTGTTTTGATGGATCGAATCCTTCTTTTATGTGACCTCCAGTTCCTTTAGGATCTAAATCTGTAGCCCAACTAAAGTGCATTAATGCCAAATGAGCATTACCTAATTTATTGTGAACTTTTCCCAGTAAATAATAAACTAATGACTCTCTAGGGGCTATGTCCTTTAAGTGATGTAGATCTGCTAATGCATCTTGCGGTCTTCCTGCTCTTAACAATACAGAAGCTCTATGGAAACGACATAAGGGATTCTCTGTATCTAATGCTACAGCTTTTTCTAATGTGGATAAAGCTCTTTCCATTTTTCCGAGAGCAGACTGTGCCAGACCTAACTGACATCTCAACACTCCTGAAAGTGGATGTATACTGAGAGCACGGCGTATGTGAACTTCTGATGCTTTCCAACGTTCTTGTCGTGCGTAAACTGTAGCTATACCAAACCATGCAACGTAATTTCGTGGATCAATACTAACAGCTAACCTGAAGCTAGCAAGAGCTTTATCAGTTTCTTCTGCTACGGCGTATTCGTGCCCTAATAATGCATGTGCATAAGCAGCATCTGGATTTAGCTGAACTGCACGTCTGAAGAACTTTAATGCAGTTTCACGTTCCTTATGAAGAGAAAAACAGTTTCCTGCAACTAACCAAGCAATTGGATTAGTTCTGTTTAATTCTACTAATTCTTGTGCTAAGGCTGATAACTGTGCTTCACGCTGAAGATGCCATAGACAGGTACTGTAAATTTCCATCCCTTCAGTACGACTTGGATACTGTTTTCTTATTTCTGAAAATATTTTAGCAGCTGCCTCATATTGAGCCAATTCATAATGGCTACGTGCGATCATGGTTTGTACCCAAGGTGAAGCCAATTGTTTTGGAGGTAACTCTTGAAAGGATTTTATTGCATTTTTACAGTCTAAAAATGCAAGATATTTATAAGCTTCTCCTATTTCTTTCATAAGACTCAACAATGCTACTCCATTTGAATTCTTTGGAGGTATGGTTGGAGTGACAGTTTCTATACTTTTATTTGAATCTATTGTATTAGATTTAATATTTTTAGCAGTTCTCTGTTTATTTTTTCTTGAGGGACTCTTTGGTGCTGCAAATTTCCTACTAGGTGATTTATTATTTTCCTTTACTGAATAACTACTATTATTATTACTGAATAGTCTTGATGATCTACGTGGGGCAGGGCCAAGTGTACATCTTGGAGCTGGGCTAAATACTGCATCCTTAAGTTGTCCCATTTGTGCACGTAGAGAATTAACTATTTTAGGAATTGCTTTCTGTTCATTTGAATCTGTCAATGTTGGAGTATATAATACAGGAGATTCTTCCATTGTAAGCATTCCAAATGATGGTGAAAATGGAATAGGTGCCATACCACTAAAAACACTATGCATTCGCTTCATTGGGGCTTGTGTCTCAGGAGTTATACTTGTCGACATAGCCATGGGTGTACGTGTGGCAACATTATTAGGTGTTACATTTGTATTCATGCTGCTGTTATTATGAATATTACAGTTAACAAATGATATATTTTCTGAATTGCTGACTAGATTGACTAATGTTGTAACACCAAATGTGAACTCAGAGTTGTTTATTTGGAAAACTTGTTGGGGGTCAACTTTCTCACCCATATTACAGAGCTGTGCAAATGATTTCCACATAAATGGGTTAAGAGATAGTGCTTTCCGATGGGCTTCAGCGGCTTCATTCCTTCTTCCTGTGCTGATGTATACTTTGGCAAGAAGCTGTAAAGCGTATGGCGCCTGCTCTCCAAATTCAGAAGCTATTATATCAAGGTTGGAGCCCAGTGCAATTTCTGCATCTTTGTAGCTGTAATGATAAATAACTGTATATTTGTATGGGTTTACATACATTAACATAAAAGTAAAACATATGTAATGCAACTATGACTAAACTGCCATGACAAAAGATGCCTTTGTAGGGGCTGGTGTCCTATTTAAATATTTTAATCATATAAGACATCTCTTCGCGTTCAGTAAAAGAAAAATTTGTCCAAAACATATAAAACCAGAAGCAAATTTTAGGTATTGCAAATGGACTTTGTTATTTTTTTATGAAAATTGACCCACCTATTGAGATCAGTCTTATTTTGAAGAGACATATTTATGATCCAAGAGCTAAATGTCAGTTTGAATTGAATAAGGAGCTTTCACTGTATTCAAATATTTAATACATGTTGCAGGCCCTCACAGGTGTGCTACCATCCTACCTATTTTTGCTGCTAAGCAGTTAACTTTTCTATAAATAACAACTATAGCAATAAGCGATTGAGATTTCAACTATAGAATGCAGGTACTCATATTTTGTTTTCTATTGATTTTCATAGCTAATTAATATTGGCATCTGCAGATCTTGATTGATAAAAATTAAACATGTGTATCTGATCCAAGTACATTTTTTATTTCAATTACAGAAATAAAAAAAAAAAGTTTGTGTGCCTAAAACTTCTTCTACAAGTCAAGCTCGTGTCTTTTATTAAATTTAATAATTGTTTTAACTGTGTCTACAAATGGTGGACACTACAGAAAGTAACACATGGAGCATCTGCCACCAGCTTACATATTTCGTTCTAAAAATTTTAAATTATCATTACTAATTTGTAAATGCTTTAGGAAATTAGTTTTCTTTTTGTTCCCAATTTTACCTGTTATAGCCTTGGGTGGTCTCATTACAATCTGCATATTAATCATTTATAAACAAAAAGTACATGAACTATCAAAATGCCATCATAAGTTCACCCATATGTTTAATAGAATTTAAATTGTTTGAAGAGAAGCTTCACAGGGAATTTTTAACATTTATTTTTTTTAAATGAAAAGTACTTACGATTTCAAGTCAGCTGAACATTTGGCTAATAAAAACCTTGCTTGTGGTAATGCAAGGGTTTTATTTTGAAGTAAATGATGTGCTTCATTAATTCGCCCTGACCTATAATAACATGTTCCCAACAAAAACGCAGCTTCTTCTGAGCCAACTGCAAATAATCATCAAATTATTAAATAAGCAGCGAAAACAAAAAGCACACCCAGAATAAAAATCAATATTTTGCAATGGTACATTATATTTAATACAATTTATATACCTTCCGCATACAATCTTTCTGCCAAAAATATAGCGTTTTCGAATTCATAATTGTTGAGGCAATCCCAAACGATAACCTGCGAGAAAACAAATAATTTATAACGTCCCACTGGGAGATATGAAACTTCAATTTACTGGTTTTCACCATACCTGGATAGGTTCTTGCACAATCATCTTTTTACTGTAAATAAATACTTTCCAGATTGTTTTTATTTCTATTAATTACATTGCAAGCCACAAATTCAAATCACAAAATATATTGGAAATCTATTTCGACGGACATTTTTAGTTTGTTGATTGTCTATGATATTGATAAAGCTGCCAGCCCTAAGCATCTCATATGATCCTGTGGCCAGCCTCAATCTTAATATTTCCCAAATTATTTTAAAAAACCGTTTTTACAAAATCTTAAACGTGGTTCTATTAATGGACGAGTCGTAACTTATTAAAGGAAAATGCCTGTATTTATATTTTTGTTAAAAAATAATAAGGATGAAGCGAAAAAAGAAGTTATTAAAGTTCATTATTCATCAAAATTAGTTGTTTTTTGGTTAAGCCCATTCAGTTACTGCAAGTTCAGTTAGTGCAGTTATAAATTAAAAATGTCCTGTTTACGTACTCTATAGTTGACAACTCTGGACAGACATGCCTCCCGCTATTTAACTGGAGTAGGAATTCATTTTATTTAAGTTTGGCCAGTTGTTATTTAGCTATGATTCTAAATGCACAAAAAAATTTGTAGCAATATGCCAGTATACACAATCGCAGTTGGAACGAAATTTCAATCATTTCCAGAAGTAGCTTGCTTCAAGGATTTAAACTGTGGTAGCAAAGCGTCCGAGTGAAATTGTGTAATTTGTTTTATTTTGTCTATTTAGTGTTTCTTCAGACTTAAATGTGTAATAACGGTGGCTTATTAACTGTTTAATATCTGTGAAATGTGGGAAAATGAAACAAGGCCGCTTGAGGTAGCTGCTCGGGATCCTCCAAAAAACCCACTAAAAAGTCTCAGTAAATAACCACCAGATTATATATTTAAACCTATATCATTTCATCTTAGAAATATAAAAATGATAATATAGAGTGATATATCTATATTATATATATATCTATATTATCATTTTTCATAAAAATTAAAATAAGACTTGACCTAAAGGTCTTAGTTACCAGGACATAAAATCCCCTAAAAAAAAGTAAAATAATCTCTCTGTGCTGAACGTCAATGTTTCTGTGGAAGTGGATTAGTGGATTTTATTAAAATCAAAAATAATTCGCTTATTTCATAGAGTAAAATAAATAGGTACATTAATTTGTAAACGCGATGGGAAAGTCATTCAATTGAAATTATAATTTGTGTTTTAATTGTCATTCGACCATAGTCTTATCAAAACGAATAGTGTACGACGTTGATGTGTAGAAAATCGACGGAATTTGTGTGCAATATGTGTGCAGTGTTTATTACCTGTGACATTTAATAACAAAAGGAAAACAGTGTGATAACAATTTATAATCAAATTCTCAGGTAAATAAACTGCTGTTTATCAATACATTGTGTATCCTATGTTGTATGTCTAAGGCAAATAAACATGATACGTCATTAAAGCAGCCCTTCACTAGATTCGTCTACCGAACAAGAAAATGTCAAGACGTGTGACCTCCAATTTACCGAGTTCCTATTTCGACTTTTGTGCTTGGTATTCGGTTAATTCGTTCGTAACACGCTTAAGAAATTATGTTCCAATAAACATGTAGGTTGAATGATATGGTTAATTAACAACATAAATATAAATTTTTCTAAAGTCCTATTTTCACTGGAAATCAATAAGTGACGCAATGAACTACGAAAAAAATTCAATATTTCAATAAGTTAGTTTCTAGTTTTTTTATGACAACATACCTATAAATAATTTATACATTATTTTATAAAAATAATTAAAGTAGTAAGATAACCCTGAGTGAAAATGACCTAGACACCAGTTTGTAGAAGCTCTTTGTTAAAAAAAAGATATTTTGGCTGATTTATCCAAATTCTATTAGAATAACTCAAGTGTATATGTTATACACAGTTTGTGAAGATTTTTATTATTAAACAGGAAAAAGGGTTTTCATAGTTTTAATACTGACTACTATTTCCCCACGAAACTTCATACTTATTATAAATGTTTTATTTAAGTGATATAAACTAGAATGTTATTTTTTTGTTATTGGCAATACATTTATAATAGGTTCTTATTGAAATTTTAACTTACATAAATGTTTACACAGACGATAAACATACAAAAAATGAAATGGATGGAGTAATAATGATAATATTTTCTTTGGATTTTATGAGCTGTAGATATCATTAAAATCATTTTTATTGGGATTACATTGTTCATTAATATTTTCATATTTCTGAAGCTAGAATTCATTATTCATATGTACTGACTGTAAATTGATTGAAAGCTGAGCCAATTGTTTCTACTAGTAGAAATTTANATAAACATACAAAAAATGAAATGGATGGAGTAATAATGATAATATTTTCTTTGGATTTTATGAGCTGTAGATATCATTAAAATCATTTTTATTGGGATTACATTGTTCATTAATATTTTCATATTTCTGAAGCTAGAATTCATTATTCATATGTACTGACTGTAAATTGATTGAAAGCTGAGCCAATTGTTTCTACTAGTAGAAATTTAAACCAGCTAAAGCAAGAACTTTGTATTAACTCCATAAGTGAAATAGTTGAAGATAGATTTTTTTTGTGTTTTTGCATCAGATTTTTTTCTTTTACACAACTTATTTAGCATTTTCAATAATGAATGTATTGTCCTGAACTGAATTGATGTTAGTATTCTCTTAGTATAGAGAAGGGAAATAAATCAATAAAATACTATTTTCAAAGTATTTGTTAGTTGTAGAGATAAATAATAGTGTTTTTGCCGTTCTTGTGCTACAAAACTATAAGTTGTCATCATCCTTCGCCACTAAAAGTATCTGAAACATAACAAAGTGAAAATAATGAAAGTGTAACTAAACTGTAAAAATAGTATTATTTAATGTAATTTTTTTTTTTTAATATCTACACTAATGGGTTCTGCACTAGGAAAATCCTGTTAAATGAACACTAAAAACATACATAAGGACAAGTTTAGGCAGACTATGAACATTGAATCACTAAATAGTAGACCAAGTCCGGTGGTAGATTCTGTAAAACACTGCTCTTACTAGGGCCATTGTTAGCCACACTCCCGGTTGAGCTCCGTGAGCTCACCTACTGGCCCGGTGAATCTAGAAGAACCCCTTGAGGTTACTAAAATAGGCAAGGAAAAAAAAGTCAACATCTGTCTTGTGCTAAACTTACTCATGCCAAGATGATTATGATGAATAAAATGAATATTGTAATATCAGATACTCCAGCAGATATCTTGTATATTTCTTAAACCTGGGTTTCATTGGTTCTATAATACTTATTATGTGTATTCAGCTATTGTTTAAATCATATTTTATGTTGATACTTCCAATCTTTTTCTAGTAATGGCTTATTTAAAGAATACTCATGAAAGGCATGTTATTGCATATATCAATTTTTGGTAATGTTTTTTGTTTAATAAAGTAAACAATAAATACATAAGTATATATATCATTAAAAATGATAAGACTTCAAAAGAACATCTAAATGTAATATGTATGTTCTCAAACTCAATGTAATAAAATTTACTTCAAATGGTCATTTAATGCGTCTGAGTTTTTTCAATTACGCAAATATTAACTGCAGAAAAAATGCAGATAGATGCTGCCTATACTTTCACTCTTTTTAAGACAGTTCAACCAATATAATCTGCTATTTAAATATAAAAGTCAATGTGCGTATGGTCATCATATACTTGGTCCACCAGATCAATTTAGCTTTTTTTTCGACCTAAGCTGATGGTCTAGAGAAACCATATCAGCGTCACCGGGCTAGTAGGTGAGCTCACGGGGCTCAAACCTGACGTTGTTGCTAACATGAACCCTAGCCAGAGTTGCGCAGAGTCGAAGAGTCGTGCTTCTACCACCGAATCGGAAACGCGACCCACCGAGAAGATCCGTCGAGAAACTCAGTGGGCTTTGTCTGTGGGTTAATTTACTCGCGGAGCCCTTCGTCGCAAGCGACGGGTTCGACGCGACCCAATTTCGCTGAAATTTTAACTAATCTCTCTATAAGACTGTTTTAATGCCGAAGTCTAAATTGAATAAGTCTAATGATACGACTCTAAAAACTGGTATAAAATTGTGCAACTTCCCCCTCGGTGAAGGATATGGGGCGACCTGACCGACCTAGAGTCGTCAGGTATCACCTGGATGACTCCGTCGGCCTGGATTCCTGGTGGAGAACTACTCGTGTCATTGTAGTGTTGATCGCAAAATCCCCCCTACCTTGCCTGGGTTCTGTCTCGGGCGTCGAGGGGGAGTGCACGGGACTTGTTTAATGGTTGGGCCTTTACCAATTCGGCCACCGAATCTCACATATCCCGCGCAACCCCTAAACTCGTAAGAGTTTCGGTTCCAGGACCGAAAAAAAGGTCTCATTAATTTTCTCCAATGTCAGTGTCATCGTAGCCTATTAGAAGGGAGCACAAACAAACAGCTATCCGACATATTAAAACTGCGATCTTTTGTGTCGTCCAAGAATCATACATTCAGTCATAATAATCAATTTCAATTGCACATGTTATTGTTTCTATTAAAGTGACTACATCAATTAAAAGTTATTGAATGGTTTTAGAACATTGTTATTGTTATACTTAAAACAAAGTAGAACAAAAACGTAATGACTCAGCAATGGTGCTTACAAAAAAAAAAAACACGCAATATGCTAGCATCAATTTATTTCCAAATTCACTAAAAAAAATCCCAAGCTTTCTTTTCTGCTTTTTAGGGTTCCGTAGTTATGGCAATGGCAAGATCTGAACCCTCTAATTAGATCCTATTGTATCCAATACATATACATATTGATATAAAAATTGATTAATCTTCGATTAGATTTCCTTGGATGAGTCAAAGAAACGCGAAGAATTAGTCAATATATATATTTTATCGCTGAAATAATTGGACTTTCCATTTTAGACATTGGGACTACGCCTTTTTTTTACTATTCCACTATGTTCATGCGCATCAGCAGTGCCGCTTTTGGGGAAGGACATTCAATAGCGCTGCATTTCACTGGATGAAGCGGTTCATCGCATCGATGTAGGAGAAAGATAAAGCGCAATATTTGCAAACGTTTAAACCATGAGCTCTAAATATTTACTTTTCGACAACACGATTCTTATGCAATACGTTGTTCAATGACAAAATTTTGTATCGAAACCTCTGTAAAGCTAAAAATATTTATTGTTTCAGAATGAGTACCACAGATACGGTGAATATAACCGCTCAGCGGATTTCTGAAATTGTTCACGACGTGCTGAAGCCGCTGCAAGAGCCCATATTCCTGCAGACCCGCAGCGCGCAGGTCATCGCGGGAATATTCGTGTTCACGGCTCTATTCATTACTTGCCAACAGGTGTGTTGATAACAGAATATATTGTATTATAACTCTAAGTATGTGTCATTGTATATGTATGTTTGTTTTACAGATAGTTGCCGTATCTTTTTTTTTACATATAGACGTTTTATAAACAATGAAAGAGTAGACACACATGACGGTTCATAGCTAGGAATTTTAAATTACTAATCCGTAATTTCACTTGTTTCCTTTTATTAGCGTAGACGGCAAAACGAATTCACGATACATATGATGTTAATGCCGATACTTCGAAAATCAAGTCTCTGTTGCTTTGGCATCGATTATTTCACCATATAGATAAGAAATNATAGACGTTTTATAAACAATGAAAGAGTAGACACACATGACGGTTCATAGCTAGGAATTTTAAATTACTAATCCGTAATTTCACTTGTTTCCTTTTATTAGCGTAGACGGCAAAACGAATTCACGATACATATGATGTTAATGCCGATACTTCGAAAATCAAGTCTCTGTTGCTTTGGCATCGATTATTTCACCATATAGATAAGAAATCACTATTACTCAGCGATATATTTAGTCTAGATGATGGTGTTAAACTGTGGTGCTTCACGATCCAAAATCATTAATTGAGACAGGAATTGTGTGCTGCACGCATTACCTATATGTATTAAAATTTATGTTTTTATAAATATCTTAAGACAGGTGAGACGTAAAAATATAGCCTTCGATTCAATTGAATTATTTCAACACCACACAATTGAAAATTTATTTTCGCCATGATAACATGTTTTGTTTTATGTTCGTTCACAAAAAGGTATTTCGATGACATGATGATGAAAACATAGTATTTTTTAATACGGTAAATAATCTCTACAGTTTACATCCCTATTAATATTATAAATGTGAAAGTGAGTTTTTTTTTGTTACACTTTCACGCCTTATCTACTCAACCTTTCATCATGATATTTTACATGCACGGCGTCTCGGGTGTAGAAGAGGACATGAAGAAATTTGCACCCCGAAAAAAAGTAGTAGTATTTAAGTTTTTTTTTTGTACACTTATCGGAGTGAAGTCACGCGTAAAACTAGTAGTACGATAATAATTGAACAAAACATGCTATTTTCGTCCCAAAGTATTAAATTATTAAAAGTTTGACAAGCTGTCTTGTCACAAAATGAACAAAACGTGTATAGTATACAATTTTAGATGGTCTAGTTCAACGTGATGGAATTGTATAACTAAGCGTAGAAAAATGCTTAGGTAGAAAAGAAATTGTTTAGAAACATGATTTGAATAGAATTTAGATAATACAATATTTGAACAAAAATAAAACCCGACTAAAATAAAGTGAGACATCATCAAATACAGACGAAATCAATTAAGTATGCATTTAAGATAACTCAAAAACATTTATCTTGGCAAAATTTAATCGGGATCACATAGGAAACAACAGATTTCCAATAAAAAATAGAATCATCAAAATAAATCCATCTAAAAAAAGATTCTGATATCCACATAAAAACAAGCAATGTAATTGATAACCTCTTTTTTTTAGAGGTTAAAATAACACATTCAGGAAAACTGAATTGTCGCATCGCACAATCGTATAATAAGGAATATCAAGTGATAGAAATTCGACCTTAATCACTGAGTTCTCAAGATTTAGATTCAGTCCATTTATATTTACATAATGCCTTCTGTTTTTTTTTACATTCTTTATAAGCTGAAAAAATTTAACTGTATCCAAATTTCTTTATTAATAAAATACAATAATAAACACTAAAAATCGTAGCTCGACTAACTGGTTGCTCATTTAAGAAAAAGGAATATCGATTGACATGGAAAAAATATATAAAGCATAAACAGTTTTACTATGTGGATGAGTTTCAATCTTACATTAAAGTTGGATTGCAGGTGTAAATTTTATTTTATATCGTGATTAAACAACGCCTTAATTGTACGTTTTGATAAACAATGTACAGCCCAAAGATTGTATTTTCCTTAAAAATAACAACATGTAATTATAATTGGGAAGTAAGTATTTAATTACATTATGTACACCAATTATATATGTACTCATAATACAATCTTTATATGTATACACACAAAATCCACACATAAGAAAATAGTTTAGTAAAAAACAAACAATTCGACTTACAACTTTGAGGAATGACATGTTTTTAAATACAATATAATCTATGAATAATTTTAGTGACAAGGGTGACAAGTATTAATTACGCTTTTCTAAACAAATCGTTTTCGTGATTTACGATTTCATCTGGCTGTTTATTGTAAGGCTGTTAAAATATCAAGTTAATTATTTAGCTTGTAATAAATGGGAATATCGTTATAATATCCCTTTGCTTATTTCGATCTTGGAAAAAAATCATGCGTTTCGTTTTAATGGGTAAAATAGCATTTGTTTGTGTTATAGATTTAATAGGCAAATCAAGTGACGGTTCATCTGATGGCGACAGTAACTAGCAATAGATGCTAGCATTGCCAGCTACATGCTGCCACTTTTCCGAAGCGGTAGCTCTTAACCGGTGTCCCTCTCGATTCCCCAGCTTTATAAAAAAAAATGTTTTAACCGGTGTGACTTCATCTATCAATATGGCGCTGCGACTACGACGCCATTTTATGTTATAGTACGCTCAGCTGCCTAATATAGACTGAGCTCGTCTAATAAAATAAGACCACCAACATTTAACAGTCATAAAACTAATAATTAAAACGAATTATTGCAGATTAATTTCGCAGTTTTTATTGTCATTATAATATTTTCAACATTTTGAATGCTTTACAGTTTTCGTGGTAACGAATGACCGTAATATCTAAAGTATTCGCAACACCGGAAATAATGGAATGACAGTATAAAAAAAACAACGCGAGATGAAATCGTAAAAGTACCTAGTTCTAATTACGTCTACAATTCGTGAAAACTGAAGAAAATAACAATATTATAGTAGGTACTAATTGTGTAAAATGTTGTGGAGTTATTAAATCCTTCAATAAAGAAACGTTGGAATTCCCGCCCAGGCACTTCTCACGCTTAACTGAGATACTGTTGCGCAAACTTATTGATTACTTAAAGGATTTCAATCGCGATTGTGAAGCCGCGAAGCAAATTTTCCACAATTCATATAATTAGAAGAAATAATGAAACGAAGCAATCTGTCAAGTAACGCCCGAGGCTGAGTACAAACACTAAAAGAGAAGAATATTGTACATTATACATTTATTTGGTAATCTGTTATGCGTTATTTAAGACAAATGCTAAGCTAACTGAGTTTCTCGCCGGATCTTCTCAGTGGGTCGCGATTCAAATCCGGTGGTGGATTCTGCGTATCACTGCTCTTGTTAGGGCTAGTGCTAGCAAATTCTCTCAGGTTGAGCCCGTTAGCTCACCTACCCATCCGAGCGTAGCTGGAATAGCCTCTTAGGCTACCAGAGAATAGCAAGGAAATTTCTTTTAAAGCAGAATTACCGTCAAGGCAGTAGCAGTTGTCCAGATTTGTCCTGGACAAGCGAAAGCTGAACAAACATTTTAGTTGTTTTGTTATTGTGAAGTTCTGTGAATGAATCCACGATTCACATGGTGCGAAGTGGTATCGCAGCCCATCGACATCGGAACTTGAATGCCTGTCCGCCATTTTGAGACACTAGGTTCAAGTCTTTATATAACGGCTGTTCGACCCTTCTAACTGCAACGCAGAAATGCTTCGCATTAGAAATCGCCTAGAAATCCCAATTAATACCTCAGAAACCTTCGTTTTTTATGATACAAGATATAAAGCTCTAGTTCCATCAATGGAATGAATTGAGGAAGAAACAGAAATAAAAAACAATCACCCGAAAGGTTCCGAATGCCAAACGTTTGCCGTTGTGTTTCATTCGATGCGGAATACCCAAAACATGTCATTAAACTCGTTAACGCATCACGCGGTGTGTCAGGTACAATAATAATGCCCATCGACGGCCAAAGACCCCTTATATGTGCCTGTACAGCGTAATATCGTGTGAATATAGACACATGCTCCTGGTGTCTGATTTAACAAGATTCGTATTAGATTTATCTATCACATATGACTGACTGCTCATAGTCACTCCCACCTTGAAGTATGAGGTTGAGGTTTTTGGGCTATGGAATGACGATCAACCTACATAAATAAAAATAAAATAAGATACGAACTTAAGTCGTCGTATCGAGTACTTAATAAAACTTAAATTTAAGCGTAAATTTTTTAGTGTTGGTATTGTTTTTCTTAGGTGGTTTGACGAGCTCACAGCCCACCTGGTGTTAAGGGGTTACTGGACCCCATAGACAGCTACAACGTAAATGCCGCCACCCATATTGAGATACGAGTTCTAAGGTCTCAGTATAGTTAAAACGACTGCCCTATCCTTCAAACAGAAACTCATTACTGCTTCAGGGCAGGAATAGGCGGGGTGGTGGTACCTACCCGTGAGGACTCACAAGAGGTCCTACCAACAGTAATTACGCAAATTATAATTTTGCGGGTTTGATTTTTATTACACGATGTTATTCCTTCACTGTGGATGTCAATCGTGAAGGTTGCTCAAGTACGTATTTCATTAGAAAAATTGGTAGCCGCCTGTGGGATTCCAACACCGGTGCATCGCTACATACGAATGCACCGGACGTTTTATCCTTTAGGCCACAATGACTTCAAAGCAAACTTTGTAAGACAGCGTAGTTTTTTTTTTTACTTATGCTGATAGCCTTGAGAGGCTATTTCAGCTTCACCCTAACGTGTTTAGGAGAGCTCACGGGGCTCAAACCGGAGTGTTGCTAACACTGACCTAGCAAGAGCAGTGCTTCGCAGAATCTACCACCGAGCGTAGATAGATATCACACCATCCTGCATGTTTCTGCTGTAAAGGCTTACAATTGAGACCTTGTAACTAATGTCCCATATTGAGGATCACTTAACACCATCAAGTGGGCCGTTAGTTCGTTAACCGTACATCAGCAAATGAAAAAAGCCACAGCCAACATTACCACTAGTTC